ATATATCTGTCCGCGGAACCTTGACTGTTCGTCCTTGGCGAGCGAAAAAGTCGAATACCTTGTATCTTTCAGCGCTGCGGCTGGTGCTGGTAGAGTGAGACGTGAATCCGACGGAGTGTGAAGAAGTGATGACTAAGTTTTCCAAAGCCCTTATAATTTTTAATTTTTTTTTGCAAATGTAGGAGTGAGGAAATGAAGGAAGGTTACTGTTATAAGGTAGGGTGTAAGAAACACCCAGTTTACCCTCAATATGGAATTCACATTTCCTGTGAGTATCCTGCTCACGTGGGAAGAGTGTAGCAACTCATAGATCAGCTCAGTCCTAGGACGCAGAAAGCGTTTGTGCACCCATTCAGCAAATATTTGTGTGTGCGTTCTTGCTATAAGCCATGCAATGGGGTAGGCTGAGGAATGCCAGGTCCTGAGATTTCAGTTTATGATTGAGATTGAATATCTATTTCAGATTTGTGTGTGTGTGTGTGATGGGAGAGAGGAGAGAAGGTAGGTAGGTCTGCAGGTGCCTAAGGAAGCATACAGCCTTTTGATGCTCTCTGGAACTGAAGTTAAACGCAGTTGTAAGTTACTTGACCCGGGTGACAGGAACCAGACCAGACTCAAGTCCTCTGGAAGAGCAGCAAGGACTTTTAGTGGGTGCTCCGTCTCTCCCACCCCTGAGATGGATTTTTAAGTGAAGACTTGGTAGTAGGGTTTGGTCAAAGGGTGACATGAGTGTGTGAAATAAATAAATGAATAAATAAATAAATAATTAATTAAAAAAAAGATCGCTCGAGTTTCTGTGTGGAATTTTAAAGAGGAAATGGAAACATGAAACGTAGTAGACTGTAAATATAGCGTCTCAAATTAAACATAACCTTTGATGTGTCTCTCTACTGACTCCAGCAAGCCTTGACTTGCTTTGGTCAATGAGACCTTGACAAATATAATGCAAGAGAGTTGAAAAGCACTTTGGATTTCAGGCTTGGCTTCTTCCTTATTTTGGGAGTCTAGCATTATATGAACAAGTTTGGACACTGAATTTGTTGCAGGGGTTGGAGGTAGTTTCAAGAAAGAATAGGTTCCAGATTTTTGACAGACATTTGGATCGATAGTATGCTATTTGATAATATATGAAACTTTGGAGGAGAAACAGGTTGGGAAAAGGGTAATTGAGTTGTTAGGTCATGTGATATTTTAAGTGCCTTTTACACATGCTTGGGAAATTGAGTAGGCATTTACATTAATGAAATGGAGTCATAACCATTAAACTGACTAAAACAGACATTGAAGTAGACTTTAAAGCCTAGAGACTGGTTGGACAGCCTATATTCTACTTAGCATCTCTGTCGCTGTCTATGTCCAAAAGTAGCTTAGGAGAAGAAAGGGTTTGTGGGTCACAGTCCATCACTCAGGGGAGTCAGGGTAGGGCAGGAATTTAAAGCAGAAACCTTGGAGGAACACTGCTTGCTGGCTCATCCACAGGTTTATGCTCAGCTAGCTTTCTTATACAACTCAAGACCACCTGCCCAGGTAATGCTACCTCATGTAGTAGGTTGAGCCCTCATATCAATTAAGGCAATCAAGACAATAACCACAAGCCACTCTGGTCAAGATAATCCTTTAATTGGGACTATTTTCTCATATGACTCTAGGCTATGTCAAGTTAAAAGTTGACTAGGAAGCCCAGAAAGAGGTACAGGTGGAAAATATTAAATGGGGAGGAGGATGAGAGGACAGGGTAAAAGAAGGAATCTAGAGAGGGACAACTAACATTAATGGCCTTTTAAAAAATCTTATGGGAATTTACTATTGTAGAAGTTTCCTAAAATATATACACACATGAAAGGAATTTAAATGGAGTCATCATACAATGGGAGAGAGAATGCTCCAACTAGATATCTTAAGTCACCAAGTAAAGCCTCCCAGTGCCTCAAATGGGTTTCATCTTGTTGAGTTGTTGGCCAACAAGGGTCCTATAGACCCTTTCCTCCAATATCACAGAATCATCAAAGCTATTGGATACTCTTTATAACCTGACAGTAAGGCCTTATGACTAAAGAGGTACCATTTATGTCACCAAACATGGAGAAATTGATCTGTTGCCCAACTACAAGTTTCACTCCTACTGACTAGTGTTCGTGGTACTGTAGGGTATTTTTCATTACACCAGAGGAAAAGGTAATCAATATCACCTGCTACAAACCCAGTTGCTACAACAGCAATGTGCCTGCAAAACATATAATGTAAGAGTGGCACAACTGTTATAGGAGTATCCAACCCTTGTGTGTGTGTGTGTGTGTGTGTGTGTGTGTTTAAGGCCTACTCTGTGAATGGGAACTCAACCCCAAAACTGCTAAAGTGGCTAAGAATTTGTAGTTTGATAGGTCATGAACCCTAGGAAAAGTCTACTACTATTATTTTTCAAAGGAGCATAACAATAAAATGACTCCTAATAGCATACTGCTATATCCATAGATCAGTGGTTCACTGAGCTCCCACTGAGAAGCTTCTTGCAGCTGATGGGAATTGTACTGGCTGGTTTTATGTGTCAAGTTAACACAAGCTAGAACCATCAGAGAGCAAGGAACCTCAGTTGAGGAAATGCCTCCATGAGATCCAGCTGTAAGGTATTTTACCAATTAGTGATCAAGGGGGGAGGACCCAGCCCATGGTGAGTGGTACCATTCCTAGGCTGCTGGTCCTGGGTTCTATAAAAAGGCATGTTGAGCAAGCCAGGGGAAAGCAAGCCAGTAAGCAGCACCCCTCCATGACCTCTGCATCAGCTCCTGCCTCCAGGTTCCTGCCATGTCTGAGTTCCTGTCCTGACTTCTTCCAATGCTGAATTATGATGTGAAAATATAAGCCAAATAAACCCTTTCCTCCCCAACATACTTTTTGGTCATGGTGTTTCATTGCAGTAATAGAAGCCCTAACTAAACTGTGCAGTAGTGATATACACCTTTAATCCCAGCACTTGGGAGGCCGAGGCAGGAGGATCTCTGTGAGTTTGAGGCCAGCCTAGTCTACAGAGCAAGTTCCAGGACAGGCTCCAAAGCTACACAGAGAAACCCTGTCTCAAAGAAAGAAAGAAAGAAAGAAAGAAAGAAAGAAAGAAAGAAAGAAA